CACACACACACACACACACACACTCCCCAACCACATCCCGCCACATACACCCCCTTACCACCCACACACAACATACAGTAGGACTGTATTTTGAGCTATTATGCAGTCACCTCTAGATACATTTTGTAAACACATAAATCAGTACAAAAATATTTTTAAATAAAATTAAAATAAGTTACAGTAGATTTTTTTTTTTTATGTATATGATTTGGGGTTTTTTTCCAGTTTCACGATTACAGCACCCTTCCTCCCAAAAGGACTACTTCCAGGACAAGGGGTGGGACTTCCAGTAGCAAAGATCAGTGGTTAGGGGCGGGACTTCTGGTCCCAACATGGTGACCAGGGGGTGGGGCAACTGGCAAGGGGTGAGGCTACCCATGCAGCCCTCGACAGCTCTCCTAAACTCAGTAAGCATCCCTCCGCCCACGTAATTGCCTGCCCCTGATCTTGCCTCTCCATATATTTGCCACATAAAACAAAACAATCCTATGCTTTTAGGAAGTTGAAAAGGATGTTTAGTTTAGTAGAGGCTGCTGAAAGATCCAACACATTCATGTATGGACTGCAAGGATGTTTTCTTTGTATGGTGTTCAAAAAATGAACTGGTCCAAAGAACAGACTTTTGCATCGTTATGTCACAAATATCAGGAGGGCTCACTCATAGGTCTAGGATACAACAAGGTACATGGGACCTTGCCTCACACAGTTAATGCATCACTCTCATGAGCCTCCTAACGTTTACTGCATCAATGAGAAAGTGACAATCACACCTGAACGATGGCTCCCATGTGGCAGTACCCTGGAGTACCAAACCAGACAATGGCTTATTAACAATTGCTGTGAATGTTATGAATCTCCTTCACAGCAGGATAAAAATGGCAAAACAAACTGTTCTTGGTTGGGGAGAGCAATCTTAAAAAACAAACTATTTCAACCACGCAGCCTTAATTCATCTAAGCTCCTAAAAGAAACTATGAACTTCCATTCTATCATTTACCTCTCTTATACCCACAGTTTTTCTATGTGGCCTTTTTTCTTCAGGTTCAGGTTCTTGAGAGGGAAGAAATATTCTGTCACTCTCTTCTATTGTTTCCTGTTTTGACAGAGAGGTATTAACACTGGACTGTCCATTATTCTTCTCCAAAGCTGCAGAATAAGTTTGTTTTTGAATCGGTTGGTCTCTTCCATTATGCAGTGTTCCATTGCAATATGATCCGGACACTAATAGTGTATTGTAAATCTTCTGCGCTTGTGTATGGATCTTTGAAGAGGAAATTACTGGTTCATCTATTTCCTGCGAGTCTGCAAAAGGAAAAAATGCATAGTCACTTAAACAGAATGGCCTTGTGCTTTAAAATTGACTTAAAAAAAGCACAATTAAAAAACATGAATATTAATATATTTTATGAAGGAACTGCATTTTTTCTGTTTGAACATTGGTATGGTGTTTAAAAAATTTAACTAATCATGAAAACAAGTTTGAGACTAGGATAGAAAAAACAAAATGTTTCAGGTTTGAAACAAGACTGTTTCAGGCTATGCATATATTAGAAATTTATAATATCTAATTTATAATTATATAATTGTTATATATAATTGATAATTATAATTAAAACCCTGTTAATAAAACCCTGTTAAAACTCTATAATGCTACCACCTTGGATTAAGATATGTTATTGAGAGAACAAAAAAAGTACTGTAAAAAGTATGTTATTGAATTAATTTTTTTTAAAAGGAAAACAAAAACAAAAAATCCTTGCCTCTGGTAAATAAGATAGAAGTCCCAACTTCAGTTAGAAAAACAGTAATCTCTGGTTTATTGCAAACATGATGGCAAGTCAGAAGAAGAAAAGATTTTTTTAAATAGTTGTATTATAACCATTGCCTAACAATCTTCATTACTAGCTTACTACTTTGGGGTCTTTACCACAAATGCAATTTCATGAAGATAGCATTTAAATATTTTAAAGTACAGGGTTTCATGTACATACAGTATTTTCCAGAATCAATGGAGACTGAACTTAAGTTAACCAGAAGGCCATGGCCAGATGAATGTAGCCGTGCAGTATGTGGTGCTACAGACACATCTGCAGTGCCACATAACACACATTCAGCTGTTCTCCACACTGCAAAGGAGCAGCAAGGGCTTGTTGGGGTTTTTTTGACCCCTGGATATCCAGGGGTCAAAAAATCCTGCACCAAAAAAAAAGGTGAAGTGATGCACACGGGGGCAGCACATGCTATTTGGCAACTGAGGAGAGAATTAATTTTATGAAGTACAATCCTTGTTAAAGGGTGAATCTATATAGCACTAACTGGAAAAATCCACTAGATGGTGCCATAGCCATGGACCACACTTTCCTCCAGAAAGTGTTGATGCTGCACAGAGCATCTCATCTACACTGCATTTGAGACTACGTCTTCACTGAAAAGTTTTTATACTAAGATTGTTGTCTTGGTGAAAAGCCTAAGGGAGACAGAGCACAACTTAGAGCTTATCTCAGTGTAACTAGTCAAATTGTAGTCACAGGCTGCTTCTATGGTGAAATCTACTTTTGCTTCGTTTGTTTAAGGGATGTTAAACTTACATCTATCAGCTGATCTAAAGGGCTCATAGAGGGGCCAGTACGGCCTGCTGCTGAAATCCACAGTATGGAGCCCCACTGGCAATGTGTGTCAATGGTGGGGGCTAAATATTGCTACGTTAACCCCCACAGCCGCTGCTTGCCTCACTACCACATCCAGCTTTCAAGGACCCCATGGTCTAAATCCAGCCGTGGGGACAGGGTGAATTTGACACCCCTCGCCTATCTCAGTGCTGTTTCCAGAAAAGAGACTCTCATTGTTAATATCCCAGGTCTCCAATTTATCAAAAACCCTTTGAATTTTAATTGTACCCTTCAAAATGCAGGCTACCCCTCCTGTTTTTGATCGGTAAACTCTCTTCTTGCATCTAAGTAGGAGAGTTCTGAACCCATTTCAGGACCTGTGAACCTCTGTTTGAGAATTCCTGCCATGCTGACTTTAATCTATTAACTAACTGACTTTACCTACAATTATTCAACCAATTGCCTATCTATTTGATGGCAATTTTATCTAGTCCACATTTCTCCATCTTATTTAGGGGACAGGCATAAGAGGCTGTGCCAAAAACATCTATAATAAAGTGTATATATATTTGCTCACCTCATCCCCTTTCTCAACTGCACTCCTTACCTTTCAGGAAGGAAATCAATCTGATTTGGTTTGACTTGTTTTTAATAAATCCATGTTGGATGCTTGTGATCATCCCTTCTCTTTCTAAATATTTGTAAATTTATTGTTTTGTAATGAGGTCTTGTGCGTTCCCAAGTGTTGGAGTTAGGCTGATTGATCTGTGATTCCAGGGGTCCTCCTTTTTTCCCTTTTTAAAAAGGACACTTCCCTTCTTTCATCCTCTGGGACCCTACCTGTCATCCATGCATTCATGAATATTACTGCCAGTGGCATTGAGATTTTCTTTCTGCCTGTTCCAATATCCAATACAGCCCCTAGTCTAAGATGGAGGGCTCTAAAAGAGTAGTTTAACTTATGGTAGCTGCTGCATGACTACCTATGAGTTGTCCTGTAGCCCAGAACAGCTGAATGAGAAGTCACGGTTCTTCCCCCTCCTACCCTGGGCTGCAAGGTTGGGAGAGGTCATGGGGCCACAAACACTAGTCCCATGCTGTTTCTGTGCAAGGGTGCCTTGCAGTTCCAATTATGATGCCTGCATGCCATTAGGCAAAGGTACAGGGGGAAGATGCAATGGTCCATCAACCATTTGGTCAATAAAAATGCGCACAAGATGCATATTTAAGTTGATGTTTAGGAGTTCACAGACTGAGTCAGAGTAATTGTATGCAACTTTGAAGAAAACTGTGAAATTTATTGCTTTCTTTAGTTTGATTTTCATTTTACTAAAGATTAAAAGTACTTCTAAAACAACAACAAAAGTAGTAATAGAACTGCTATAGCAATATACATACTGCTATAACCAGACATTTCCATATAAATATGCATACAAGTTTTGCACTGTTGAGGTTAGCTGAACAAGAATGGTGGTTACCTGGATGGGGCGTGAAGTTAGCACAGGCTCTGATTTTCCTGTAAGCTTCAGCCTCATCCAGAAACTTCAGATTAGGGTCTCCCTTGGGAGGATCTTGAGTCTTGTTTTCTGAAAACGTTACTTTGCTATTTTTCCTTTTCTCAAAGCCCTGCTTAATGATATTTTGTTCAACAGCTGGAGTCGGTGAACAGTAAGGTAAACTTCTATACTCTAGCATAAAAAGAGATGTTTTAGAAATTTATTTTATTTCCTTAAATTACAACATAGGAAGCAACGTGTGTGTGTGTGCGCGCATGCATGCGCATCCTGAAAGATGTAAGAAAAAGTCATTGATAAAGAATCACCAAAGCAATTTTCATTTAAAAAGTGTAGTAAATTTAATATCTGGTGGGGGTGGGGGGGAAGAGGATGAGCTAAAATTAATGACAATTGTTCGTGCTTATTCAAGAAACTGGGTGTTTATTGCTTCTCTAGCTTTTCCATACTTCTGAAAGGCAAGGGATGCTGAATCATTGCATAAGGTATGGACATGAAATGTTTTCAAATTACAGAACTAACGAGTAACTTTATTTTTTGTGATGTGTCAATTACTAACATGAAATCAATAAATCAAAAGCTAGAATCAATTATTTTATCTTAATGCTGGGTGAAACCCTTACCCTTGATTTGTCAATAAGCTTACTGTAGCCAAATACAGTAAAATTAATAGTATTGCACAAGTAGCCCATTTAAATTTGACTGGCCTATTATTGACAAATGAGGTTACAAACTACTTAACCTTTGTGTGGTTAGGACACAGAAAATTGTTTGTATAATTTAACATACACAATAAACATAAAGCACAAAGTGAATACAGAACATAATTGTTACCTTCATCAGCATCCTGAAATTTTGACATCTTTCTGTTCTCGGAACTAACATCCTAGATTTAAACATATTCATGCATAGTAAGTACAAAGCATATAGTCATCAAAAACTGTACAAGAAATGTGATGGTTATCTGTTAAAAGAGGGTTTACAAGATTTGTTTTCCTTCATTAAATCACATTAAATTGTTTTGTTTCAGCACCTGCTAATGCTAAGTTTGCAGGGCTCAAAAGTTTCTAGATAAAGTAAAAATCACTGAAAGGAGAGCTGGTTGACTTTTCCTACAGAAAAGAAAAAAAAGCTTAACCTTTGAAAATAATTTCTTCTTTATCATAAGCATCCAATATAGATTTCTCTATTTTTTCTGCTGTTTTAGGAATATCCATAGGATTGAGGATTCAGGACAGCTTGGTAATGGTGATACTTATTGAAAAATATTCTGCTTTTAAGTGTCAAGATATTTTGTATTTTTGAATTCTACCCATGTTCTGTTAGTGGTTTAAGATCCAGAGCAGTTTTTGGGATAAATTTATTTTCAAAAGTTTCTAGCCCACTTTCAAAGCAAACTCTATCACCATTTGGATCCCAAATACCAAAGACTTAAAGCTTCTCTACTTGGAGAGCTAACTGCACAGTAAACTAGGATGTGAATTTACAGTGCACTAAATACTTTGCACTAACTCCCTGTGCAGGCACTCCTACTGAGTGCTTAATGGGTGTTTAACGCAAAGCGATAAACTCAAGGACATATTGTGCTGGAGTTTATTGTTCCTGGGTGCTGCATTTATATGTGCACTTGGGACTGCAGCACACTGAGCCGGGTTGGAACAGCTCCGACTGGCAGCGGGCCTGGGGGTCAGCCTGCCAACCTGGGACTGCTCTCACATGGCTCAACGTGCTGCAGCAGGGCTGGCTGGGGCACGAGGGTGCTTCACTGGGGGGCTAATTGACAAGCAGCCCCCACACTGAAGCACCCTTGTGCCCCAGCCATCCCTGTCAGCATGTGTGCTGCTGCGCAGTAAAAAATGTCACTTCAGGATACTACTTGTATTGAAAAGTACTAACCTACGGCAGTATTTATTAGTTTATTGAGACCTAATAGGGACAAACATGTAGACACAGAAGCTTTACTGAAAGGCTAACTAGTCAGCTCTGAAATAAATGTCTCATATAGTTGCGCTCAGTGAAAAGCAGTATACTGCATTTTCACATTCAAGATGTGTGTAAAATAGTTGGAGGTGCTTACTGCACAAGTGATGTCTCCATGCGGCCCAGCAATATGGCAGGTCTTTAACTTCCTGGCATTAACTGTACATCATGCTAAAAAAAGACATATAAATCTATCTGACATATTGTACTTGGAAACATTTACTGTATTTATCTGAATCCAAGACAACTTTAAATTTAAGACGGTGCCCCAAAAGATTCTGTATGTGGAAAAATTATAAATGTGTTATAATTTTCCAGGTATAAAATCTAATTATTGCAGGCTAGTCTTAAATTTGTTTCCCCACAGCTATAGTAAGGAAAGCAGCAGCAGGGGGTCACAAGGGTAAGGAATCCAGGTAACTCCTTGCCCTCTGCCCCCCCACTTCTTCCTCCTGCAGCTTACCTACACCCCCAGTCCCCAAGCCCCACAGCCTCTACCCTAGCACCTTCTCCCACAGCCCCTGCCACTCTCTTCCCCACTGTCCCCCTCCCCACCTATGCCCTATACCCTCTGCCCCCTTCCCCTCTACTCCCTACAACCTGTGTCCCCTTTCCCCCTTCTACCATCAGACACAGCTCCAGCTCTGTTTCCTTCTGGGGCACAAAGTATATAGAGGTGCAGGCTGGAGCTGCACCAGTGCTGATTGGGCAGGGAGGAGACAGAGCCTTCAAGTGCTTTTTACCTGGGAGGGACTGATCCAGAGCCACACCTGACACTAAGGGAGGGAAGGGGACAGAGGCTGTGTGGCACAGGCAGCAGGGGGCGGCAGGCAGCTCCTGTGGCTCTGACTCCAGCCCCGATCAAGACTCACACCTGGAGTCAGAGCCAGAGCAACCACCTTCCTCCTCCTCTGCCTTGTACTCAAATCCAAGATAAGGAGATTTTTTTCTCCATGTTCAATGGGGAAAATATACCTCATCTTGGATTCAAGTAATATGGTACTTGTTGGAAGTGGTTGGTTGGTACCTCCACCTACATTCTGTCATTCCCCCTCCACTTCATGAGAGAGATGGAAAGAGAGCTTCTAAAATGATAAAGACAACAGGCAGTTCTACAGGCAGAGAAGGGTACTCATCTTACATGTCACCTTTTACAAAATATTTCACTGTTCCAATGCAGTGAAATGTTCTGAATATTTGTTGACCCTAAAATGATGCAAAATTTCAGGGGGTTACTGAAAAAGTAATTCCACTTTCATAGGCTCTGTTTTCTTCTCTGAGGTGTTTAAGGTGGGTGGCTAATCTTTCATGGTGCTAGTACAGAGAATGTGTTTGAGTCTCTGAATGAGGGCTCTCTCTCTCTGGTCATCTGCAGTCCTTGTACACAATTTGCTTGGGGCAACTGATTGATGGGAACCTTGGAAGTGGCATAAATAGTCTTTTACCCGTCTCTCTGCCTATTTATATAATTGTCACTCATTTTTGGGACGCTGCAGAGGAGCTAGAGGAATCAGGAAAACTTCGGGTTTGGCTGCTACTTTTTCATACATATTTAATGTGTGTATATATAAAGTATTAAATATAGATAACTTGTATGAGAAAAATCCTGGTTTGGATGACTTCCATTTGGCTTGATAATCAGCCTCACAGGACTGCACTTATTTCTTTAGTACAGGTTGTTGATTATTTTTGCGTACTAACAGGAAAAGCAGACGTACTGGGATTTCAACAAGTGACTGTCATCTCCGAAACAATATGTTTTATGGCACAGCACATCTGTAACCACTGGCTCTTTTCTGCTTCTCCTTGTTCTCTTTATTTCCTCCATTCACTGGGTCAGTTTTTCAGTACAACAAATCTTTGATTCTTTGAGCAGTTCCGGTGGTGCCAGTGACCTGCTACCACCATTTTTTAATTATTTAGAGAGAAGGTTCAGGCTGGATATCAGGAGACATTACTTTACAGTTAGGGCTGCCAGGCTCTGGAATGGGCTCCCAAGTGAGGTGGTGTGTTCTCTCCTACCTTGGGGGTCTTCAAGAGGAGGCTGGACAGATATTTGGCTGGGGTGATATGACCCCAGCACCTGTTCCTGCCCCAGGCAGGGGGTCAGACCTGATGATCTGTTTAGGTCCCTTCTGACCCTAAGTACTATGGTACTATGATTTAGGTACATTCGTATCTTACTTTTTTCTCCAACTTCTCTTTTGAGAATTAGTATGAGTCTCTTACTGTCTTTAAGCACAATTTTTGCCCTATAATTCCTGGATTGTCCCTCCTAACCTCCGCTGCTTTAAATAATAACTATCTCACAAAAAAAACTTAGATGTGACTTTGAGGTTAAGAAACTTGGGTATTTCTAACCTGAAAAATGAAGGCCTGACTGTAGTATGGATGGGCTTTAATCTAAAGCCTATATCAGCCACTGGAGTACATCAACTTTTGGGGGGCTTGAGCTACTTACTCAGATTACTGGCCCATACTCCATAGCTCTACTGCAACTGGAATCTCTGCTAGCCAAATTAATGCTAGGAAGGGAAAACCTCTCTGTGCTACAAACACATTAATTTTGCTAGAGATATAAAAAACTTGGTTTCTGTCAGCACATGAAAGGAAGCCAACTGTACCACAGAGAGCCCTCTGAAAACACCCAGCCTCCAGACCTATCTCATTTAAATCTGGTATCAGTCATCCTAGGGATACTGCTTGTTTAAAAAAATGTAAAGCAAGAACAAAAGGTTGTGGTATTCAATGATCCAAATAATAATGGGTTTTGGCAATACTCAGAACCTTGAATAGCACACAGTTTCTACCACTAGCAACTGGCAGTTAGCAATGTCTCTAAAAGTACAAAAGTGATATGGCCCTTGTGCTGAACCTGGAATATAGCCTGCACTAATCTCTTTCCCCACGCAGTAATATGTATTTAGAAGAAATGGCTATGCCAAAGTTGAAGTGCTTTTGGTTTAAAAGGAACAGTTATTCTCCATGAACGGAAGCTAGGCTTTAGAACTTGCTCTCCTCTTGACCCAGAAGAGCGTGGAGTTGTTGACCTTTAAGCTTACTAGAAAGAAGCCTAAGTGGGAACATTAGATCTGTTTGTATTGATTTTATTTTTTAAGAGTTGTCAAAGGCACTAATGATAAGAAATTTTAAAATGATTATAGGAGCTGTGGCTCCAAGCATTAACAATTATACTGCCTGCATTTTGGCAGCTATCAGTTGAGTGCTAACTTGGCATCAAAACCAACCTGCACACTGATAATTGAATGAATTAATGGTTTATTGCTTTGGTTTTTCATTTGCATCCGCCCAGTACTGCCAAAGATTTTTTTTTTTTTATCTGTCAAGCACTGAACCAGCCAAGCAATAAAAGCAGAGCTCCATTCTGTACTTTGTTTTACTTTCTCTAAAATTAACTGGTCCAAAATGCAAAGGGAGTGTCAAAATTTCCAATTTTTCTACCACTGACGCAGCTCTACGGGTGGCAGCATTATTAGGCATGTTAGATTAACTATCTCACCATGTACAGAGTAGGTCTTAATGAGATCACAATTAAAACAGTGGCAGCTACCAGAAGTGTGTCATCAGCACAAGAGTCACCAATCCTGTTTCTGCCGAGGGAGCTGAACTGATGGTAGCAACAGGAATAAGTTTTATTATCTGGTAAAGACAAGGACAAAGTAATAAGGAAAGAGAGATAACAGAGGTGAAGACAGGGGTAGACTGATAACATGGATCAAGATTCTTCTCACACCAGTACAACATATCTTGTTTGGAACCTCAGGAGCACACCAGGTCACAATATAAGCCAATATTATCAACTGCACTAAGGCCAATATACCAGGCAAGGACTAGGTTCAGACATTCAAGAGCATGTCCCTTATACCCAAAGGATACACATACACATAAGATTGCACCTAAGTATTTATAGTGTTTTTGCCTGAAACCTCTATAGTATCTGTATGCCAGACAATACTGGAAGGCAATTCAACATGTTTTAGTAACCTTTTTTACCACAGGCATATTTGCTTGTTGTTGCTTCCATGTTTGTCGGCTGCTGGGTCTAACATCAGGCTTCTGATTCCTGATAAGGTCCTTATCATCAATTTCACGGATGCCTTAGGAAATAATAGATTTCATTAAAATTTTAGAATTTTCATAAAAATGTTACACTACAGTTTAACAGCATTGCAATATAATAAGCTATACACATTGTTGTAAAACATTGTAAAATTTTACGGCAGTTTATCTGCAGTCTCACTGCAGTCTGTACCTGACTGGCTTTTATATATTTCAGTGTTTTGATATTTTAATAAAAATACTGAAAGGATTCAATTTGTGTAGTATTTCAAAAACACAATTAACAAAAACTTTTCTTCCCCATCTTTGACATGGAACTGTCCCTAGAGGGCAGCAGTGTGCAAAGAATTCCTTGACAGCACTTCAATTCATACAAGGAATTGGAGGAAAGGTAACGAAAATGGAAAAAGAGGAGTCAGTATACGGTACGCCTGGATTTTTGAAGTTCTACTAGTCTGAGAAATCAAATCTCCTAGTACTTCCAAAGGGGTCACATCCACCATATTCACACTGAAAGAAAAATGCAGAGCCAGTGATAGCTACTTTGGACAGTAGCTATCCAACATATAGGAACAGCCCAAGTTGAAAGTGAAAGGGCCTGGAGTTCTTAGGATTTCTGGAAAAAGATATCATTTTCTCTCACGTGTAGAATGCCTACACTTAAAATATGCTCCTTGTTTTTTGGGAAGGCAGAATAAAGTGAGAAAAGATTTTTCCCTGCAGCATAGAACAGGGTCAGAGCCTAATCTTTAGCTGACTTGCCCCCCTTTTCCTGCTTAACTAAAAGCTGAAACCCTAGCTGCTATTGAAGATTGGTTTCCATGGGTGGATCTATGATCTTTGAAAAGAGCCAAGTCTCTCGGGCTGCGAAAAAGGAGATGAGAGACAAGGAACAGCTAGCAGACAACAACATTTCCCTAAGAAGGGCTAACTTAGTTAGTGGAACAGCAAGACTATTAAAAAGGAGAGACAATTGTTAACACCTGTGGAGTGAAGAACAATAAACCATTAAGTCAACTGACTCCTACAGCTGCCTGAACAGTAATGCCGCTGCTCCTGCTCTACAAAGCAAGAATGCATCTTTTCTGGGCAGAAAATCAGCTTTCCTGCTTAAGACGGGCACCCCAATTTTGTGGGGCTTATTTTTTGGGAACAGGTATGTGTGGTATGGGCATAAACAGGGTATTAATATTCCATGAAGGAAAAATATTACAAAGGGCCTTTACAAAGTATTTAGTCTATGATTTTTAGACTGAGTATTCTGCAAATTTTCTACTGGGGGTGTGTCAGGAGACAGCAGAAGTTTTATTAATTTTTAAAGCAGTCTTCAATCAAATATGGAATACTGATAGCATGCCAATCTGGTTTAGAAATGTGTGTTGCTTCCATGTAAGCAAAGTAGGTGGAGTGTATTAAATTCTAATCCAATGAATTTTGAAAATACTGGAAAAGACATAGAGAAGTTAGGGCCTTTAAATATTGAAAAACATCGTGTTCAACTACTCAGTAAATATGAAAATTTTTATGGGGGAGGAAAGACTGCAAAAGTAAATCAACATACTTTGTAAAGTGTGAAGTTCAACTTCAGGGTCCTTCTTAGCAGATCCTGTTATTCCAGGAGGTTTACTCAAGTCCCATTCACACTTTGCAATTAAGTTTAGTACTGCTTCATCTTCTTCATCCAGCACTGAACACTTTTTTGACATGGAATTAATGTACTGTACCCTTGCTGGGCCAGGTCTGTTAAAGAAAAAGATGCTGTAAAACTTCTTCACTTTACTTTGATGGTTTGGCATTTAGCACGACTTCTTTTTAAATTAGGTAATGGACAAGTCATTTCTTTACTAGGTTAAAAAAAACCCATCATACAAGGTACTGGATTATAGGAAACACCTTGTTGTGAGTCACTTACTAGACTGGAACTCAGGAGACTGACTTTCAATTCCTAGTTCTACCCAAGATTTTCTATATAAGCTCAGGCAAATTGGTTGATCACTTTGCCCCAGCTTTCTATCTACAAAATGAGGATTATGCTACTTTACTATTACTTTTGCCAGAATTCTCTTTCAGAACCCACCTTCAATTCCACTAACTCATACTATAATAATAGTTTTTATTGAAGGAAGAAAATGCATTAAAGCAAGAGTCAGGAACCTATGACCCACAGGCCAGATATGCCCTGGATTCTTGCCTGGTTCTAGATCCAAATCCTTATGTTCATTTGTTCATACCTTTCTATTTCATTCCCTCTTGCTGCCGGTGAAGAATTTTTTAGCTCATATGCATGATCTGTAGCAAAATGCAACAGCGATGCTTTTCGTTCGCTGTCTCTCACTGGCCGGTCATCTAGAAAAATAATCCCCACAAAACAGAATCTGTTTCACTAATGTTTTCATTAGGGCATATAACTGAAGGAATTGGAACAGCTCTGCAGAACTTCTAAAGTATTAAGTTAAAAACCAGCTTTAAGTGATACACAGAAAAGGTAGGAATTTTACTGAATCAGAATTAAGGATTAAGGTAAAAAAAGACAAAGTTTAAATTCTTACTTTTGTGAATACCAGCACTAGCAAAAACAAGTGCCTGAACTTAGGCTAATATTTTTAGAACAGAGCTGTCCAATTGGTGGTCCATGGGTTGTGTGTTGCCTGCGAGGGATTAAGTTGCAGCCCCTGGGCCCAGCTGCCACTTTCCCATTTGATCCAGCTGCAACAGTGGCCAGAGTCTCCAGGCTCCCCCTTGACTTCTGCTTCCTGCCTGCACCTCAGGGATTGAGGCACAGTGCAGAGTGGTTTGGCATACTGAAGGTAAACCTGGGTGTGTGGGGCAGTAGTAAGTAGAAGAGGTGGGTGTAGTGCCAACTAAGGGAGCGTCTGCCAAGGCTCACAGTACTACAATCGGGCATACCCATGAGACATACCCATGAGGGAACATAGTGCAGTAGTCAGAGGGGCATCCATGTGGCTGCACACTGCAGCAGCGGGGGGCATTTGTGGTGTAGTGGTGGCTTAGAAGTGAGGCCTACCATGGTGTAGTGGTGTGGCCTACCAGGCATTTGGTTGCTGGTGGCTTAGAAACTGGACGACCCTTTTCTTAGATGATACTGCACCACCATCATTGTAGGGTGGGGAAAATATATTTTGGTGTCTTTTTTTTAAAATTTGGATACTAAAGAGGGATGTACTATTTCTGGATTTATTTTTGGGAAACATTTACCTTCATCTGAATCCTACATCAGAATAGCATGATTTTCTTGGTCCTGATAGTAATTTTTGGAAGGCTATAGAGAGCAGCAGGTCAGCAACTGTTGATTTACCTGGGCAGGTCTTTGTTTTTTGGACCTACCCAGGATATAAGGCAGCCAGGAAATGAAGCTTGGGAATAGCCAAGTCTGGAGAAAAGGTTTTCTGCTGGGGTTTACATCATGGAAATTTGGAACTGCCTCTTTGTTAATAAAATCAGAGCCCAAGAAAAGTGACTTTCTGGTAAAATCCCACTGCCATTAAATTCAAGGGCAAAAATTCTACTGACTCCAGTGGGGCCAGGATTTCTCGCTTCAGCTTTAAAATGTACTTTATACTTGAAAACAGATGATGATTCTACTCACACAGACATAAGTGAGTAAATTGCCTGCTATGAAAATCTGCTTTGAAGTCTGCTCAGAAAGGAAAACTGCATCTATAAAAACAATGCATGGATAAAATTTGGACAATTAACTAGTGAACAAATAAGAGACAACTAGTGGCAATAAAAGGGAGGGATAGACTAGCATGTACTTTTTTCTTCCAATAAACCTTTTGTTGGAGTAATTTAGTTGGACATCCTCAGTGTTCCCCTTCTTAGGATCCTCATATCTTTACTTTAGTGAAAACAATGTATTGGTAGCAGAAGACAAACTTTTTCTGTTGAAAATAGTTCATTGTTCTTAATTTAGCAAGGGGAAAAGAATCATCAGGTGATTTTTTTTTTTTTTTTTTTAAAGTAGTTAGCTCTGTGAACCTATCCAACAATTATACCCAAAAGAGAAACTGGCACAGTTTCCTAAATAGGGCAGGATATGTCTTTCTTTCCTAAGTACCCACTAGTCACATAGGTTCAGCTGTTGGCACAGGCTTGTTATCAAGAAGCCTGAAATCCAAATACATGCAAGAAAGGAAATGATTAAGATTTTGTATCGAAGCATTTATGTATACACTTAATTTGTAAGCTAGTTCTGTGCATATCTGTGCATCTAATAAATCAAATTATAGATTCATAAAAATGCAAGTGTAAATACAGAACAAAACATTTCAGGGTGTTTACTCAGAACTCTTGCTGAAAACATCTTTACTCAGATAAATCATTTGGCACTTTCAACGCACAGATAATAAAATAGGGAGGCAGTCTCTATAGCCCTTAGACTTGGCCTTGTTCTACTACCTACTACCACTATAGTCAATAGTAAGAACTCCATTGACTCCATTGGATTACTGTTACGCCAATACAGAGCATCTCTCAAAATCACTCTAAGTCTGTAAAACTATTTGATACTCATAGGTCATTTATAATTTGATTTTTGAATGATCTGTTGTTATTAAATAACATCCCATACATCTATAATAAGGGACTTTTGAGCACATTGTCTTCACAATTTCCATTACCTTTTATGTGTCTGCAACAGCTAGCATACCTGTTGATCATTGGCACTAGCTGTGGCATGCTTCCTAGCATGCACTTTGCCGTTCATGTATATATTTTTAAAACAAAAAGTTATTTTCATAAAAAGTGTCTAACACTTTTATGTAAAAACAAAATATTTTGAGCAATATCCTGTTCTGTTTTCTACGTACCTAATCGCCTCAGGTTAGGCAGCATGTGCACAACAAAAAGACGATAATCTGATTCATTTTTAATAACAGGGTTCAATCGAAGGTCCACTTCCTTGAGTGTAGTTAAGCTATGAAGTCGGAATACTTCTGAAAGTGATGTGATTTGATTGTAGTAGAGATTAAGCTTTTCTAAAAATGTTAGGTATTGAATCCCCTGTTAACAGATACAAAATAGAAACCAAATAAGGTTGTACTTTGTTTTCATGGTGAAATGCCTGAGGTCCCTGAGGGAAATCCAAACCAGGCGGCCCAAAGCTGAAAGCTGTTACCACTTGACTTAGTAGCTATTCAGTGGTTTCTGTAAAATGACTTGCTGGTCTCAATCCAAGATCCAGTTCACATATTCACAATTTTAAAAGACTTCCCAAACCCATGCAAACTATAAGTGATATTATCAAATTTTCCTTCGGGCTTTATCAGACACTTAAACAATTTTCCTGCAGAAAAGGGTTGCATCTCAGAGACAGCAAAATATGGGGAATGACTGAACTGTTACTGTTCATGCCATACAATCTTCATAAAGATAGAATCCTTCCATCTTCTGGGGACATCTTTAAACATTTTTAAGTTAAAATATTTGTTAAACAAAATGAACTAGTTTAAAAGTGGTAAGATTTAAATATGAATTAAGGATATCTTACTATTAATGTATATCAAGCTGAGCTATGCAAGGTATCAAGAAAATAGACAGGCTGTAACAAGCTCTTCTTCCTCGCCCACACCTTCAGTCTCCATTATAGGGAAGAAAGGAAAGAGCCCTTTGAGAGAGATAAGATAGGCTGGGAGGTCCCTCCTCTTAGAGAGAGATAAAGAGAAGGGTCTCAGCAATGAGGAGCAGAAGTGCTTTGACAGAGGAAGAAGACAGTCTGCCAAAAAAGGACTAGCTCAGAGTCCTGACTAAGTTTGGGAAAACCTCATTGGCTGTGTCCACATGAGAGAGAGAGTGTGTGTGTGTGTGCGTGTTGCGGTGTCTTAATGGAGTCTGCGATACCACAGAAGGCAAAAAATGTTCCCTGTGCTGCACATTTGCAGTGAGGACTCTAAATCTGAAAGGGGGAATTCCGGTATCAAAAAAAAAAAATGCACTGGAAAAAAGCAGCAAAAGGCACACTTTTGGAGCATGCCCAGAAGCAACTGGAGGCTGGATCCTCCAAGATGCTCTGGCAGCTGGCACAGAACCAGTCTGGTTTGGTGTAAAGATGTACGCCAGCAGACCAGGCTAGGCCGGCTCCATGCTGCCACATGCAGCTTCTGGGGACTCAGCCAGGGCCATGCACCACTGGGGAACTCTGCCTGCCACAAGCCATGCCCTGCTTTTATTTTTTCTGGCAAGCCGAGGCAGCATGCTGGAGCAGCAGGGGAACACAGCAGTAGAGATGCTCTGGCTGCCTGCCAGAGCATCTCCTTGGAGGACCCAGCCTCCATTTGTTTCCATGCATGCTCTGAGAGTGCGCCTTGCACCACATTTTTTCAGTGCATTTTTTCTGGATGCCAGAATTCCCCGCTATCAAATTTAGAACCCACACTACAAATATGCAGCGTATAGAATTTTGTGTATGTGATGGGCTGGGGGAGGCAGCAGGAGTGAGAGTGAGATGCGGGAAGGGAAGAAGGAAGGTGGTACTCTAAGTAGAAGCGGCTGCCAGAGCTGGGCTTAGAGCTCCCCCTGTATCCCCAGAGCAGCCTACAGAGGGAGGGTGGCCTGGAATGGAAGGGGCTTGCCCAGACCAGTTCTTCAGCACCAGTCAAGAGCTTCCCAGGAAGGGCAAGGGGATCACTGGGGTCTGGGCACAGGAAGCAGAATAGCAAGGGCTTGCACTGCTCAGAGCTACAAAGCACTGGGTGGAACAGCTGCAGCTGAACTCATGTCCTGGTGCAGGGAGGGAGTTACTGCAAGGAGGGAGTAAATGGGGATTGTGAGTGAAGGGCACTGGCAGGGCTGTGGGTTGCAAGTGAGGGGCAAGAGCATGGGGAGGGCACCAGCATATCAATGCTGCTCAGCACCACAAGGCAGCTGTGGGGACAAATGGAGCTGAACCTGCATTGCGGTGAGCAAAGAGGGCAGGAGGAACTCTGATTTCCTATGATAAAACAAGCAAAAGCCAAAATATATAGGTATTTAGAATGTATTTTATTATAATGACTGAGGCAGTAGTAGGCTTCCAAATTGTGTTAAACTTGCAAATATATCAATAAAACATTGTGCTCAACTGATACCTGTATATATAGTGACGTTTCATTTTAATCGTGGAAAAACATGGACTTCATGTTTTTTAATCGGAGAATTTGGGTTTCTTTTTAAATCAGAGAATTTTCTATTTCTTTAACAGAAAAAACTAGGATCCCTGCTGGTGAGGGAAGTCGGGGACCCAGCCAGAGAAGCCTGCCCAGGGCTGGCACTGGGGACCCAGATGGAAGGCAGACAACATGGCTGACTTCCTTGCCATTTGGAGCCAGGACATGCCCTGACAGTTCAAAGTGGGCCACCACACTGAAAACATCTTCCAGGTGATAGCTGCCCAGATGGCAGAGTGGGGGCACCAAAAGACATGGCAGCAATGCCACACAAAGGCTAACTGTGCAGCCACAGGCAGCTGGCCCAGAGGTACAGGCGGCTCTGCTGTAGTGCCCGTACCACAGCCCAGGTGGCCATGTGATCCCCGTCCAGGTCTGGCAGGCACACAGCCATGTTGCAGGTGGCAGCAGCCCCCGCTGCCAGACTGCTGCAGTGCATAGAGGATGCAGGGGTCACTCTAGGTTAGGGCTGCTGCAATAGTCCAGCTGGCAGAGGGGGCTAGTGTCCCCAAATGCCAACTGGCTGGGCCTTAGAAACTCCTGAGGGCATGTAGCTCTGAGCAGCTCAGCAGGTCAGCTTTTTGTACTGCTGTGGCCAGCACCTCCCCCTGGCCAAAGATCTGGAAGGAGTGGGGCAAGGTCAGTTTGCCCCAAGCAGCACAATTTGCCCCACACCAAAGTACACATTTAGGCACATGTGCTGAGGCACAAATCTTAAAACCTAAACTTATTTCACTGTGTTTTCCTTCAGCAAATCATAAAAAAACCACTTACCTCCAAGCTAACCAATGCATTGCGAGAGAGGTCTAGGGATTTTAGGCGAGTGAAATTTTTCAGAGCATTTCCTAGATGGGTAATCTTTTCATGATAAGTTCCAGGGAGAGACAATGACCGGACATCAGCTAGAGTAAAAAAAGAAAAATTCTGAAACGTGAATATATGTATCACTTTAAAAAAGAGAGGAAGATATGATTCCTTCTCATTTGAATATGAAATCCACCTGATATTACAGGGATATGCAATGCAAAATGTATCTCCTTAGTCTTTCTGTGCTATTAGTTGGGGGGGGGGAGGGGTGTGCACTGACAGACAGAAAGCTTTGTTACTAACAGGCAGAGATGGTATTTTGTGGCTCGTTTAGGAATAGACTTTTTTCTTAAAGCATTTGGTGTTATACTGCTTGTAGCAGCTATAAAGGGGAATGAGAGAAGCATCCCACACATGTACTACTACCCACTAGGCACAAATCATGGGGAAAGCCACACAGAAAACAACAATTTGTATTTTTCTGTTCTCAAACTGTGCAATTTATGTGAGGCCAAAGGTATAACACAAATTGTTTCCTGCGCTACAGTTATCTCTATAATGAGTTATTTAGTATACATTTTTTTTTCAACTAAGCAGACCTGTGACAGGTTATTAAGCCACTCAGAGCCCATATCCAGAAAGAGACCTGGGCCTGGTGATGCTCAATGTTTTCTATGCCACTGCATAAAGCACCCAGCTCTAGGAGGGAAATTGACAAACCAGCACCCTCCTTCCCTATACAATAAACAGTGAGTCTGGCACTTAGGAATGTATGACATGCCAAGAGACAGCAAGGGAACAGCTATTAGGAAATGGTGGAAGCAGGTATGTCTGAAACCTGGCCCTCTCCCAAGATTAGGGGCCCCTGTGGGATTGGAATTTACAGCCAGATGCTGCTTTCTGTACTTGAGTGTCTAAGCCACACCTTTTGGGCATGGGTAACTTGCTTATTCTTCTTTTGAGACATGGATGGAGGAAGAAGCGGTGCTGCCCATGTTTTATAATTAAAAGGATGACTAGTACTCCCCCAGGAAGTGGAACACCTGGGTTCAATTCCCTCCTCAGCCTGAGGGGGTTCAAACCCACACTAGGTGAGAGTGGTGTGCATGTAGTGAGGGTCTCCTCCATCTCTCCTGTTGAAGTAAGGTTACAGTGTGGAAAGAACAAAGTTCATAGGAGAAATGTAAGATTCATGAGGCCAGAGGAAGAGTAAGCAAGAGACAGCCTAATTTTGTAGCATAGAGTTGAGGGTAGACCTTAAGGGGATAGATTCTGTTTTTTGTTCCACAGCCATAAAATGTCCTTGAGTTTGAAAGAGATCTCCATCCAGGTGACTTTGCCTAATATTTCTTTCATTAATTGGCAAACAGCCTGACTTAGTTTTCCTAGTTAACAGCTGTGTTTCTCCTTTACCCTCTAGACCTCTTTTGTCCACACTGATTTTGCAGTCTTTTGCTCACCTTGCAAAACCAAAAATGACTATTCAAGGTGCAAGGACATGGAAGATCAGGCTAATTATGATATGAACCACTGCAAATATCAGATTATGTAAAGTTGTAAAGTACACAGGCATAAAATCAGTGTATGGAAAACCACATTACAACAAATCAAAAAGCGATTGGGACCTACTCAACGTAACTGTGTGCCTGCTCTCACTTCATGGTAAGCAAAAGATAAATCTATGGTAGCTTACTCTTGCTCAGCTACACCAAATTAGCATTCACTTACTGTGAGCTAGGATTACATATGCAGGCAATTATGTGGACTAGATGAGACATGGAAAATCTCAGCTACCATTTAATTTGTTTGTACATATTTTCACAGTAATCAATTTGATTTTTCTTGGACTTTGGATTAACACTAGAACAGGGCAGGCAATTATTTTGGGCGGAGGGCCACTTACTGAGTTTTGACAAGCCATCAAGGGCTACATGACAGGCAGCGAGGGCCAGATAAATATTAATTTTCTAAATTTTTTAGTATCCCCGTGGGCCAGATAGAACGGCCTTGTGGGCTGCATCTTGCCGACCCCTGCACTAGACTAAGTGAGAGCAGCGCTGACTCAAAGACTCTACTTCTGCTTGAAAACAGGATCTCTCAGCTGTTTCTATAAAAGATACAAAGCAATGATTTCTGGTTGTAAATCATGTGGAAAAGTCACCACAGTTAGCTGTGGGACAAGAAATGAGTGTAGACTAGCTCCTTAGGAAAAGCATGATAGAAAACCAAAAACCAGTTAACTGGGGTTTGCCTTGTCTAATGTCTATGCCAGGAGCCTGCTGTACATGCTTAGAAAAGCTAGAGCTCCAGGCATCATAATATACCTGGCTGAGCAAAACCAGCCCACTACCCAGTTTAGAATCAGAGATGTAAAGGTGGTCTAAAATCACCTGTCCCTTCAGACTGCAGCAAGGAAACTTGAGGTTAGATAATGGGGTAAAGTTTTTCACTAGAAGGGTAGCACAGACAATGTGTACGGGAGGCACAGGGGGGCATGTGCCCCCCCCAAGATTGGCCGGTGCCAACCGGTGCCCCCTGCCAGAAGCACCGGTAGCACTTCCAGTTTTGCTGCTGGCGCTTCCAGGGCTGGCGATCGGACACTGGCACCCCCCCTAGAGTCAGGAGACAGCAGTCGCCCATGGAGGGTAGTAAAACACTGGAACAGGTTATCCAGACAGGTTGTACGATCTCCCTCCTTGGAGGTTAAGACAAAGCCTTGGCTGAGATAATCAAGTTGGGGCTGGTCCTGCTTTGAGCAGGGGGTTGGCCTCTGTGCCCACCTGAGGTCCCTTCCAGCCCTAGTTTTCTACGATTCTGGCATGACTGGTGAACCAGCCCCCTCAGATCAGGATGCTGTCACCTTAAAAGCCCATGTCCTGTTATGATATTGATCAGACAGCTGAGATGAAGTTAAGTGACCGTGTCAAACCATGTCAACGTGCGGTCACCGGTGAAGAATCACGTCTTGGAGGGTACCCCTCCCGTGCAAGTGCGGTAGACCTCTCTCGGGCAACCCTTATTAGCTGCGACCGTGAGGAGCCATGAGGAGCAAACACGGCTGGCTACAACCACGGGTGCCCTCGCCTCGGGTAACAGGGATGGAAGAGGCCGCAGGGGGGCGTCGCGGGCCGGGCCCCTGCGCGAGTGGGGCGCTCCCCAGGGCAGGCAGATGCCGCCCCGGCCCCAGCTTTGCAGCCGCTCTCCGCCACCGGCCAGAGGCCGTTAGGGAGGCGGCTGCTGTCAATCACGGGCCCGCGTCGCTCTCATTGGCTCACGGAACCTGGCGGGTGGGAGCACCGCCTCCTGCTGCCGAGGTAACGGCTGTAACCGCCAGCTGGGGAAGAGCAGGTCCTGGTCCTTTTCCTTTTCCCTTTCCCTTCATCGGCTCCCCCTCCCCGTCCGGCCTGAAGGCGCCGCACGGCTGCGGGGCAGGAGGTTACCGAGGTTCTGGTGCCGGAGATGAACTCTCTCCCGAACGGCTTCCTCACTGAGCACCGCCATGGCTTTCAAACACTCCGCATGCGTCATATCGCGTTTACCCAGTCCGCCGACGCAATCGCTGATCCCGCAGGGGGCGGGGCGGTCATGCGCATGCGCAGGGTGTTGGGGATCTGATCATGTGGTGCTTGTCTCGGCAAGCGCCTTGCGAGGTGGGTGGATAGACGGGGTGCGGGGGTGTTTGTGCGTTGCAAGCCCTGTCCTCGTGGCCCGTGAAGTGGGGTGTGCGCTTCTCCCGCGCCTCGTGTAAGGGCGGGACCCCGGGGCGGCCAGCTTTAGCCGTGGTCGAGCCCGGCTCTGCTTCCCAGCTCCCTGTGCGAGATGCTGTGAAGGGCCCTGGGGTGGCTTCAGAGCAGGGCTCTGGTCTTTGTGGGTGGG